CAAAATATTCTGGGGGCCATGAAATTTTAGTGAAAATCATCAAAAATGCTGGCGGTGGCATGGCCACTTTTTAAAAAAAAAATGCTGGCGGGAAAGGAGTTAATAGAATGAAGTTCTCCACTTCTCTGTCTGTCTGTCTATCCATCTATCTATCTGTCTGTCTGTCTGTCTGTCTGTCTATCCGTCCGTCTGTCTGTCTATCTATCTATCTATCTGTCTGCTTTTCTAATAGACTGTATAACTTCAAATCTTTTTCAGTCTTTCTGGCCTGGGTTTCTCAACCCAGCTTCAAAGATTGTCTTAACCAACTTTTTTATCTAGTTGTTTTATTGCTCTTTCAGATGCTCTCCGGTGTCGTCTCATCAATGGCCTAACTTGATCCTAAATAGGTGTAACTTACGTGACATTTGAAATGTCATGTTCAGAATGCCTGAAATCCAGCAGAGACCAGACAACAGCTTCTCGTTCTGAAACATCCTCACCGTTACTGATCTTGCATTAAAACATCATCGCTTTGCACACTTTAGTATTTATTGAAAAAGAAATCACTTTACATCATTCAAACGTGGCGATATAAAAAAGAAACAGTGTTACAGCTCTTTAATGAAAACACAAGATATTAACTCTTAAAAACATTTCTAAAATCTGTAGTTGTCAAAATGACACAGCATGACATAATACTGACTGATATCAATTGTGAATATAACATCATTTGCAATATCCTAAAGCCATAAAGTGCTTCGATATATATGATGGTATTTCACCATCACGGCCAATTTAGAAACAACATTTTTTCCCTCAATTTACCTCCTGGGACCCAGTTTAAAATGTGCTGTTATTACATGAACAACAAGGAATTCTATGGGTAACACTAGTTATTTACAAATGCATTTGCTTGTTAAATAAAGGTGACAAATGTACCTCTGACTACATACAATCTACCAAACAATGTTCAAGACGGCCCTTAGACGTTATGGGTGTAAGAAGTATAAATATATTCCTTATATACCACAGAAGACAATGTTCCCGGATGACGGCTCTGTGTGTAACACTTTTCTGCTTTCCTATATTATTTTTTACCTAAACAAGACACAAGCAGTGGCTTTTGATGGGTTCACATCATAATAATTGTGTGGGTCTGCTGAACAAAAGTACTTCAACCTTTGTCATCTTCTTAGTACTAGTAGTATTAAAAGTGATGTTAAAGTGAAGTTAAATAGTACATATAAGACTTTGTTGTTTAGTGTTGGAGAGGTGAATCTCAAAAAAAATTATGTCCAGGTCTTTTTTTAAACCCCAAAATAAAATAAAAAAAATAATATTTTGATTAAAGACCAATTTCATAATTTTTGTATTTTTTTTATTTTTATTTATTTGTTTATAACAATTTAGTACATTTCTCCCAAAATTCTTATTTGTTGTGCTTTGCTGATTTTTTATTTATTTATTTATTTTTTACATGCATTACATATATATACACATTAAAATTTGCAATTTTGGGATGAAATGTCACCTGGATGTTTTTGTAAGATTCACCTTAATACCTTGGCTGAGTCATAATTTTACTCTTTGATGAAAACATAAAATTAGAATGTTAAAGTGAAGTTAAATAGTACATATAAGACTTTGTTGTTTAGTGTTGGAGAGGTGAATCTCAAAAAAAATTATGTCCAGGTCTTTTTTTAGCCCCAAAATAAAATAAAAAAAATAATATTTTGATTAAAGACCAATTTCATAATTTTTGTATTTTTTGTATTTTTATTTATTTGTTTATAACAATTTAGTACATTTCTCCCAAAATTCTTATTTGTTGTGCTTTGCTGATTTTTTATTTATTTATTTATTTTTTACATGCATTACATATATATACATTAAAATTTGCAATTTTGGGATGAAATGTCACCTGGATGTTTTTGTAAGATTCACCTTAATACCTTGGCTGAGTCATAATTTTACTCTTTGATGAAAACATAAAATTAGAGACAATTAAAACTAACAAGACAGTGATTACATGTGCTAAAGGAAAAGTAGACATTATAACAGTACAGCATGATAAATAAAACCTTGTCCTGCAAGGCTAATACCACAAAAAGGGTGAACTTTAAAAGTCTGACAACCCATATGATGATCCAGTGTCTCCCTTTCAACAATATAACACTTAACAAATCATTCATAAAAAATTTTTTTTTTTAAAAGTTGCAGTGTAAAGCACCACTTCAAAAAAAAGTTAAAAATTAGTCTTAGTTAAAAATAAAAATAATTAAAAACCTGTAAATTCACTTTTATGGTGTTTTCTTCATCAATGTCATTGTAAAACTTTGATGAACGAATTATAGGTATGGTATGACATATTGAAATGAGAGAATAATTCAAATACACAATGCCTTTTGATCTAGCTGTACACATCTGGCTTTGATAAACCTGTGTAAAATTTGCAATTTTGGGATGAAATGTCACCTGGATGTTTTTGTAAGATTCACCTTAATACCTTGGCTGAGTCATAATTTTACTCTTTGATGAAAACATAAAATTAGAGACAATTAAAACTAACAAGACAGTGATTACATGTGCTAAAGGAAAAGTAGACATTATAACAGTACAGCATGATAAATAAAACCTTGTCCTGCAAGGCTAATACCACAAAAAGGGTGAACTTTAAAAGTCTGACAACCCATATGATGATCCAGTGTCTCCCTTTCAACAATATAACACTTAACAGATCATTCATAAAAAAATTTTTTTTTAAAAGTTGCAGTGTAAAGCACCACTTCAAAAAAAACGTGTCTTAGTTAAAAATAAAAATAATTAAAAACCTGTAAATTCACTTTTATGGTGTTTTCTTCATCAATGTCATTGTAAAACTTTGATGAACGAATTATAGGTATGGTATGACATATTGAAATGAGAGAATAATTCAAATACACAATGCCTTTTGATCCAGCTGTACACATCTGGCTTTGATAAACCTGTGTTTTTCAAAATAAGTAAATAAAGTATGATTTTGTGGGTCAAGCATCCACTTGATCTATGGGCATTATTTCACACATAATTCAATATCATACATGATTGCACAATTATTATTTACACCAAGCCGAAATAAATAAGGCAATGTTCAGAAATCATACACTGCTTTTAACCGTTCATAACTACGTCCTAATAATATATAATTCATTTTAGCTAATGGATCATTTGTAATATGTGATGTAATATTAGCATAA